TTCCACTTCCTCTGCACTTTTCACTCCCTCCTCATGTCTCTTTAACCCATTCTTAGAATTTTCTTCTTATAAAATTTACACTTGTAAAAACTTAGTCTTTTCAAAGGTGAGAATCTACTCTAGTTCAAACTTTAATTTGTCAGCTGATATGGAAAACAAAAGAATAGCCCAAAGGTTAACAATGTTCAGTATATATTCAAATCTACAAGAAACGGGGCACTGGGGATTACAATACCCACAGAATTATAAGAAATGTCAGTTATCCAAATTGAGTTCAGGCAAAGGTATTAGGGATTGTATTACAGAAATATGTTGGATAACGAAGTTCACCAAAGAATTTCAGAAGAAAATCAGGCTATTAATTATAGATACCAAAGCCTTTAATAGTATCGATCACAATTTTTGAATTGCTCTTGAAGAAATAAGTGTGGCACAACATTTTATTGGCTTATGTGTGATCTTTACTCAGGAGGACTTGGGAGATTTCCCAAAAAGATTTCAAAATTTGGGCAGGTTTATATGGAGAAATGCAGTCTTTCAGTTAGGACCCAAGCAGTGTAATGTTACAGTAACTCAGTGAACTGTGTAAATCCTGGCTTATCACTTGCAAGCAGAATTTGCTCTTGCTTGCCTCAGGAACAGATAAACAACCACAGATTTTTACCAATGGGTTTACTGCAATCTTGGAATATGACAGTACCTAGGGCTCTGACGTGTTTCCCCATCTTTCCAGGAGAGCCAAAAACCCCCCCCCCCCCCCGCCCGAAGAAAATCCAAACCATTGTCACTTTCTATTGATTGCTGAGAAGGAAGTAGGAGTGGCCAGGCAGCATGCTCATACTTGGTGTAGCAAGCTTCCCACAGATGCCTGGTGTATTGTTACCTTTCAATGCAGCTGAAATTTCATCTGTGCTCTTTTCAGATACTGTGATGAATTTTCTGTATAAACAAAATTTAATTATCTATCATCATTTTCCTGTGCTGTTTTGAAGTGTGCTATGACAAAGTAAGGCTGCCTCCTCTAACAGAAGCTGCTCAAGCTCATTACTGTAAATTATGTGGGCATTGGTGACACAGCTGCTTGGACAGATTGTCATCTAAAATGCTTGCTTTTAGTCCACTACAGATGCATGCCTGCTCCTTTGACATAAATTCCTTCATTTTAGTCCTGTATAACTAACTCTGTTTGCTTTTTGTTGATGGGGACGAATCCTGGCTGATTAATACTAACGTATTCTGAAGTATAGTATAACAGTATTCAGATGTTGAAAAGTGTGACATTATTGCCTAGCGTTTTTAAAAGAGTTCTCTTTATTAACAATCATAATTTGAATTAATAATGAATTATATGAGCACTGTGTCATTTCAATAACTTATTTCACAGGTCCTTAAATTAAAAAATTTTTCTATTTTTTTAAACTATCAAACAAAACATGTTAATGGTGGAGTTTGATCAATTATTCATTCTAAAATGTGTTGTCCAGCATTTCTTTGATCCTAACATTAATCTTTTTCAATTCTGTAGAAAATATTCTTAACTGTATATTGAAACTGTATATTAATCAACATTTTTTCAGTCTTCTAAAATATATTTTGCTTGTCAGAGCATTAATTCTGGAATGCATAACTGGAAATTAAATCAAAAGCAGCTAGTATTGGATCTTTACAGCAAGAGCTTTAAATAGGTTGATAGCAGCCAGACAGGAGCTGTGGCTAGACCTGAAGTTACTTTAGCATTAATCCAAACAACCAGATGGTTGTGTCTTTCCATACTCTACCTTCTTTTTTCAAAGTGAAGGCAATGTAGGAGATAATTTTGAAGATTCTTTTTCCTTTTAGGTTGTAGGCTTGTACATACCTCGGTATGAACACAGTTGTATTTCACTATGACTTACTTCTGTGTAGACATGCATAGGATTGCCTGTTTGAAAAACTAATGTGCAGAGTGCCAATCCTTTGTTATCAGTAAATGTTTGATTTTTATACTTATTTTATACCTATTTTATATACCAGGTTCTCATAAAGATTTCTTGTTGGTAAAGGGGTCACAAATGGCATACTGTGCCAGATTAATAGCTAGGACAACAGCCTTTATTGTAATGACTTGAGATGAAGATGTTTGGGCAGCTGCTGGACGAAAGGAACTTTCTACATTTGTTAGACACAACACAGTGGACAAGTACAGATTAAATCAGGCAACCTTTGGAAGAACGGTTTTGCAAATAGTGATGCAGAAAAAAAATAGTCAAGCCTTGTCCTGGAGAAGATGGCTTGGGTGTATTCCATTAGGCCTGTGCGGTTTCGTTCGTTAATTTCGTAATTCGTTATTAATTCGTTAATTTTTGCATTTACGAAGCGATATCAAAACACATTTTCAAACCCGGAAGGGTTTAAAAATATCGAACCGGCAACCCCCATAGATTTAACGAGCTTCCGCTCGTTTCGTTAATGGGATGGAGGCTGCTGGTGCCTGGGAGCCAATCCGGCGCTCCCAAGCACCCAAGCAGTGCACCGTGGCTGTTTTTGATTGGCCGGCGAGCCCTTTAAAAGCGGCTCCGCGCGGCCGTACAGTTGAGCTCATTGCTGCAGAGGGCGAGGGAGAGAGAAGAGGTCCGGGAGGGTTTGCATTGGGTTGGCTTGGCTTGGCTAGCAACTGGATTGGATTCATTCCTTGCTCATTCCTTGGATTCATTCCTTGCTGCTGTGCTTAGTGCTGCTTATATTCCTTGCTTGGATTCATTACTTCGGTTTTTGTGAATTTGTTTCTTAATTTTCCATTTTTAAATATTTTTTAATATTATTTTTTAATATTATTTTAAATATTATTCTTAAAAAATACAAAAAATATTCTAAAAAAAGAAAAGACTCTTCTGTTGCTGTGTGCTCTCATTTGCTGTCTCCTGCCTGTGTTTGGTCCACATCAGGGCCATTTTTTGGTTCAGTTTCCATTTTTGAATATTTTTTAATATTATTTTTTAATATTATTTTAATATTATTCTTAAAAAATACAAAAAATATTCTAAAAAAGAAAAGACTCTTCTGTTGCTGTGTGCTCTCATTTGCTGTCTCCTGCCTGTGTTAGCTCTACATCAGGGCCATTTTTTGGTTCAGTTTCCATTTTTGAATATTTTCTAAAAATATTATTCTTAAAAAATACAAAAAATATTCTAAAAAAGAAAAGACTCTTCTGTTGCTGTGTGCTCTCATTTGCTGTCTCCTGCCTGTGTTTGGTCCACATCAGGGCCATTTTTTGGTTCAGTTTCCATTTTTGAATATTTTCTAAAAATACCTGCCTTTTATTCTTAAAAAATACAAAAAATATTCTAAAAAAAAAAAAGACTCTTCTGTTGGTGTGTGCTCTCATTTGCCCTGTCTCGTGGCTGTGTTTGCTTCATATCAGGGCCAGTTTTTGGTTAATTTTCCATTTCTGAATATTTTCTAAAAATACCTGCCTTTTATTCTTAAAAAAAATACAAAAAATATTCTAAAAAAAAAAGACTCTTCTGTTGGTGTGTGCTCTCATTTGCCCTGTCTCGTGGCTGTGTTTGCTTCATATCAGGGCCAGTTTTTGGTTAATTTTCCATTTCTGAATATTTTCTAAAAATACCTGCCTTTTATTCTTAAAAAAATACAAAAAATATTCTAAAAAAAGAAAAAAACTTAGGCTTGTAGCGGGGGGGGGGGGGGGGGGGGGTGGGGGGGGGTTGGGGGGGGGGGAGGGGGGGGTCTTCGGTGGCTGTGTGTGCGTTTGTCATTTGTGTAGTTCCAACCAGTGCGCTCCTTTTGCCAACACGAAGTGCTACATACATACACTGCTCGCTCATCATTTGTGTAGTTCCAACCAGTGCGCTCCTTTTGCCAACCCAAAATATTTAATAACGAAGTTATTAATAACGAAGTTTTAATAACGAAGTTTCGGAAGTCGCGTTTGCGCATGCGCAGACGCGTCCGTCGCTTTAACGAATCGATTCGTTATTATCTTAACGAATCGACCCCGCGCCAATAACGAAGCTTCGGAAGTGTTTTTGCGCATGCGCGGGGGTCCGCCATCTTTACAAAATTTTTTGTAAATATTTACGAAATTTCGTAAATACCGAAACTTTTTTTGGGAAAATTTTGTAATTATTTTAAATATCGAAACAAAAAAACACCCCAATTACAAATCGATTTTAGAACCAAATTTTTTCTTGATCAACCAGGCCTATATTCCATGTGTAGTGGATTGCTCTTTTAACTTATCTGAGAATGAGAGGTTGATCCTTACTGGGAATGGTCATTCTAAGGAGGGTGAGAGAGCAGTCCACACCCACCCGGGAGAGGGGAACCACTGAGGAGGGAAAATATTTTCTATCTGTACCACCATTGTTCAGTGCATCTCAGATCAGTAACGCTATATAATCAAACTGAGGGCAATGTGTGTGAGGAGGCATTGGTTACAATAGACAGGAATTCTGCTGATTCCTGCCTTAATCAGGTTGGTGTGAAGTGTTAACCCATATGTACTGGATTGCTCCTTCAGTCTCCTAAGAATGACTACTGATAGAAGGTATTAATCTCGTATTTGCTATTTCTAGTTTGAATAGTTTTTTGGTCAGGTAATCGTTTAATATAATTTAATACTTACTCTGTATTAGAACAAATCACAGCTGAACTGTTATTCAGAAATTTTATTTTTACACTCTTCCGTTTGACTTAAAAGATCTAATTTATCTGAAGCTGTGTTAGCCTCGATAAGTTTACATTCCCTGTCTTTGGCTGCCTTTCTGCAAGTTTCCAATAAGTCATGAGTCCATTGTATGATAGTGTAGAATCAGCTTCAAAAATGGGTTGAACAGAGAAACAACTTCTTGAAAGAAAACAAATTGGTTTTCAATTTAGCGAAGGTCCTTGAAGTTTCTATATAATTGAACTTTGCTCCCAGCATCATCCCAATATATCAAATCAAATTTTTGGAAGATAACTTTCAGAATAGAAGTTCTCATTATTTTTTCTTATTGCAGAGCCTTTGTTCCACTTGATATTCCCCATAAGAAAAATTCAACAGAATGGGAGAAAGTGAAACTTCTGTTTGAAGAGCTTGGAAGCAGTCGTAAGATACTCTTTTTTTTCCCTACAGATAATGAGACAAGACTTATTCAAAGTATTGGCTTCTCTTCGTGTGTTGTCTGATTAGTCTTCATTGCCACAAAAGCCACTGCATTTTGAAATAAGTGCATGTTAATTGATGGTAAAATTTTGAATTCTTCATTTAAAGGTGATATTGGTTGACAAACAGAGAACAGTGATGGCTTTCTCCTCCTTGAAATTAAAATGTCATGAATTGGATGTCTTACATACAGTCTCCCTCCACACACGCACACACACTTGTGGGTGTTAGGGGCACAAAACCCCTGTGAAAGTAGAAAAACTCATTATATCTCTGGGAAATGCAAACAACAAATATACATGAACATTTCTGTATAAACATTTCAGCAGATTCAAGCTTTGTCTTCAACGTCTGTACTTAGATTCAGAGTCATTCTATATGTGTGTGCGTGTGCTTTTCTTTAGTGAATTATACTGCTGATTTTTGGGCAGTTCTCAGAAGACAGGGTGACTTACTGAAATACACTTAAATGGTCAAATATAGGAATCTGGTATCAAGGCTGGAATGGACAAAGTGTGGGCCTCTCAGTGTTGCTGGTATGAAGGTTTCAGCATTCCTCACCACTGTCTGTGATGGTTTCAGCTGATAAAAAGTAGTCTAACAACATATAAAGACCGATAATTTCCAATCCCTGTGCCAGACTGGTGTTGACATTGATTTAAACTCTTAATAACAGACTGGAGAATGTATAACCTTTGAGATAGTGAAGAAATCTTCCAAGGCAACGGAAGCCTAGTTTCCCTGTTAAGATCATAATAAAATACTTGTTTGCTTATTCTATTGTGTTGCAGGATGGTGAACTGTTAACAATATACATGTCAATTCATTGTCCTTGATGGATATCTTAACAGTTTCTCCTTTAAGCTTTTATTGGGTATGTGTGTATGTTTGTGCATGTACATGCATTCATTCACTAAAATAGCATTCTTAAAATAGATACAAAACAAAATATGAAACTTGGGTAAAGTGTTCTTAAATGTGTGTCTCATTTGTATTTCTGTCATTTCACTTATAGATGGTTTGGCAGCCTTATCGTTCTCGATAAGTTCTTTAACCCTTATTGGAATGATGGCAGCGATTACTTATACAGTAAGCATCTAACTTCTTATCTCCAATTTAAAGTTTATTTCCATTCTAACAATAGGCAATCTTATCACACCTTAATCCAGAGATAGGCAATCTGATGTTCTCTAGATGTTTTGGGTTCCGGTTCCTATTAACATATCCAATGGCTGTGAGTTATGGAAACTATAATCTTAACCATAATTATTTTAATTCAGGGATAGCTACTCAGCCTTGTTAATGAAAGGTATCTAAATGAACGTATGTACAGTTCCATGAGTTTGAAAAGTTTTTAAAAGTGATAGTAAATCTTTCTTGCAGTTTGTCAAAAGTTTGTATCCTAGCAGACAGGAGTTTTTAAATGAATTGTGCAAATGCGACTTGTCTTCCTGACTCAACACTAGTCAGCAGAAGTTTCATGCCATCTCTAAGTCAATGTGTCAGAGCCTGGGGGTCTGATGTGGGATTACTGCTATAGATCTTTGTATCCTAAATATTGAACTTCTCAGCATCCTGGCCAAAGTCTGTTTCTAATTAAGAGTCTTTAGTATAATAAGCTCTATTCTCTTCTAAAATCTTTCTGTTATTATAGCTATAATAGTTTATACATCATCAGAATCAAATATCAGTTCATAGAAGTTATATTGCTCTCATTGGCCTCTGCACTAGAAATCTAGTCACTTCGTGGCAATTTCACTTCTTCTCATCCCCCATCTTTTCATCCCACTTAGCTTTTTTTCTTGATTCTCATATTGATGAGATAACATGTGTAAAACACTTGAATGACTAAAATGACACTAGTGTGGCAATAGAAGTTATTTTGATGCATTCCCATTGAGTGAATAGAAAAGTGCCATGCATTTGTCAACTCATATAGGGTTTTTTTTGTGTGTCAGGAGTGATTTGAGAGAGTGCTGTCTACAATTGGCTGTCTACAAAGACGTTGCCCAGGGGATGCCGGGATGTTTTACCATCCTATGGGAAGCTTCTCTCATGTCCCCTATGAGAAGCTGGAGTTGACAGACAGGAGCTCACCCCACTCCCTGGATTCGAACCACCAACCTTTTGGTCAACAGTCCTGCTGGCACAAGGGTATAACCCATTGTGCCACCTGGGGGCTCCTACTCAAATAGTTCACTGTGTTGTATATACGTACTTTCCAAGTGGGATGGTATAAAGACTCCTTTACGGCTGTCTGGGCAGGGGGGCAAACAATCCCACCAACTGTCCCTCCAATATAAGGAATTTACACCACTTTATAAAGACTTCACTGGCACCTATAGAACGTTTGAGGGGATGTCTCTCTATTTAAACTTTCGCTGCCACCATAACTAAATGTACAGGAACACTCTAGCTATTTAAAATATTAAATAGGGCTTCTAGGACCACCAAACACTGTGTTTTAAAGGGCTTCTTTGAAGGAAAACAGGTGAGGTTGAATTAAAAGGAAAAGGGACTAAATCCACAAATGTGCACTTGACTCAGGCTTAAGTTTTAAAAACAATCAAGTAAAGTTTATTGATAGAGGTACAGAATGAAGTGAAAATGCTGTTTAATAAGCTTGGCTGTTACAGATAAAATGTTCTTGTTCTTGAAAGCATAACGGTTGCATGAGAATGGTTCTTTCTTTGTTACAAATATAAAACCCAGCTATTTCTTCCCTAAATAGCTGTACCCAGTTTGCCACAGCTTACTTCGCTGGCAAACTTCAGACAAATTGCCTATTCCTAACACGAACTCCTAAAACTTCTGTAATCCTGCTCTAACTCTAACATCAACCAGACACAGACTGGCTGAACAAGCTTCTTTCTTTCCCTCCAAACAGTCTAACTCCGCCCCCTTTAATAAACCAATCCTGGCTGCTCTAAGGCTGGCTCAGGCCTAGGCCACTCCCCCTCTCTGAACTAGAGCTTTCCCTAAACTAAAATGGCTCCTGCTGCCCTCTGCCAGGCCTTCTAAGGCTGAAATTAACTAGCCTGCCTCTCCTAGGCCCTGCCACCCAGGCTGGTAAGGTAAGGGATCTTCACAGATGGGATTCCATGAATGGAAACTGGCTTCTGAGTATGAGAACAGTGTTATACTACCAATTAGTCAATGTATTTAAATGTATGTTTTTCCTTTGTTGTGGTAGGTTTATTTTGTGTATATTCCTACCTTTGACCCTTTCTTGTGAACCCAGGCCAATGATTCTGTTCTCTTTCTGTGTGGCTTTCTCTTCATTTAATGCCATAGAAGTGGGATGTATTTTGCTTTGACACTAAGAAATAAGAGGCTGTGACAGGTGGATCCTTGATATCCCCCCCCCCCCAGCTGTGCCCTTTATAGGATATCCACAGTGTCTTGTGGACTATGAGTTGTTAATGGAGCTACTTCTCAAACCTTTTAATCAGCTTCCCAAAATAAACTTCTGAATTTTAGAAAACAATTCAGTTCAATTTGTGCTTTGTACTTGAGTTAAAAGAATTTCTAAATGTAGATGTCCTTAAGAATGCTCAATTCTTGTGGAGTTGCAGCATGCAGCCTGCTGCATTGGATCATGGAGCATTTAACAACATGGTTTCACTGTACATGAGCTGTGCATGTGTCTGATCTTTTCATGCACACAAATTATAAAACTTAATATTTCCTATTGTGACTTAGTGGAACTAAACTGTGGGGTATATCTTTCTTAAATTTAGAAGAGGGAAACCTGGTCCTAAAAAGTGCCACAAACCTATGGCTGTTTTTATCTGTTGCTCACTGTGCTTATAAGAACTCATGAATACAGTTTGCATTAAAATGATTTTATATAGCCTTGGGTAAAAACAGAGCTGATGGCAGCTTTTCTGTGTTGTTGTTTGAAGTCAAGGTAGAATATTAAAACTCTAATGACAGGCAGATTAGCTTGTTACTTTATTTGGGACCTGTTGTGGCTTACTCTAATTGACACTCCCCCCCCCCCCCAAAAAAGTTTTTTATATGCATCTCTGAGTTAATATTTGGTTTGGTTGCTCTGACTTTAAGAGAAAAAGGAAATTGTGCATTCTCTGGAAGATCTTTTGTGAGGAAAGTGGATGAGACTGTGGTCATTTGTGAGAAGTGATCTCAAATAAGTAAAGAGTAGCATTATTTCTAGGTCTTGGCTCATGCAGGAGAAAAAACTTTAGTCTTCTGATGTCTTTCATGATTTTTTCAAGTTTTTACATAAGGTTCGTTACTACATCCTGAATGTCAATATCCTCCTCTCTTTTCAGTGTTCTGTGACCTTAATCTTTTTTTAAAGAGGCACTTTACTTTCCTCTATTTGTTTTCCTGTCTCCCTATAGAGACATGAAGAAAATTGTGTAAAGCAGAAACAATCTCTGCTCTGGTTGAAAGTCAAATGGTTTGTTTCTCTGGGCACCTGTGGTGTTCCTTCTTCCATCTATGATTCCAAGCTCCAGTACAGCAGAAACTACCACTTTTCTGTAGTACACAGATGGAACTGCATTTTACAAATAAAGACCCAAGAGACCAAGGAGCTTCACATCGATGGCAGTTCCCAGAGTCTAGCTACATCATATGGTAGAGCCAAAGAAGAGCCTAGAGAAGGAGAAGAAAGCAATGGAGAATACATTTCCTTTCTTGATTTTTAGAACCTTTGTAATATAGTAACCTCACATTGAGTTTTCCCCTCATGTGGCCATTTTACAGCCTCCCTTCGCTTAACTTCTTAATGGCCTGTCTTCAAGCAAATCAAAACCTGATTCACTGCTCTCATGAGAAACCTCTCAATTGCTTTTGCATGGACTACTTCCTATATGTGTTGGAAATATATAGGCTCCCATATGCTCCCAAAGAGAGTTTTTATGGGCTAACCATCTACACCACATCTGTACCAACAACACCTTTTTAAAGTAAGCAGAAAAGTGAGTCCTCTCTTCTAGAGACATCCAAGAATAGCCATTCACTTTTTCAGTGAGTTGCATGGTTCTTCAGCAATTTTAACATAAAGGATACTGGATTTTTAAAACCAGAAGTAGATTTTGGATCACTTCCATCCTTGCTTTGCTTTGCTTTTGATTTTTTGTAATCAGTATGGTCCCTTTACAGTTCCTGAGTCCAGTAATATCTTTGGGGAACTGGATGTCTTCCACAGTTTTGGAATTTTAACATAGGTATTTTAACAGACATTTTAACATAGATTTCACTCAAAGAGACATAAGTAGACTATGGAAAAATCACAAACTTCCACTTATTAAAACAGAAAACTTTGTAGATGGCTAGCTAACTGCAGGGGGCCCCCAAAAGCAGATAGGGGCTACATATGACTTCTTGGCTTTATTTTGTCCATCTTCTGCTCTTTACTGTACCTAGAAACACAAGCAAACCTTTTTGTCTTGGGGGCGCATTGTGGGTCCAGCTGAGAGGGCTGGGCTGGGAGGGAAGGCAGCCAGGCACATGTTCGGTGGGATGGGCCCCGGAGCGAAAGGGCTTGGGAGAGGGTGGGGCCAGGAGGGAATGGAAAAGGGCAGGGCCCGGGTCATCCTCAAGTTGTCCTCCTCACATAAGGATGGGGCTGCTCACCCTATCCTTCTGCCAGAAGGAAAACGAGACATGCGGTGACTGCCCCGATCCTCCTTCCCCAGTCTTCAGGTTGTTCTCTTGGCATTATGCCCAGAGGAGGACAAGACATACGAAGGCTGAGAGTGCTCCGGAGGACTCTTAGCTACTACGTGGCTTCCTCAGACCATCCTCTCCATATAAGGACAGGGCCACTCACATCGTCCTTATGCCGGGAGGAGGGTGAGACAGATGGTGGCTGAGAACACTCCAGAGGGTATCCCTTCCTCCCCCATCTTTTCTGCATAAGGCTGCGACAGGCCACAGAGTCTTTATGCCAAGAAGACAGGGAAAATGGGGAGAGCCTGTGGTAAGCACCTAGGGGGCCGCATCCAGCTCCTGGGCCTTATTTTGCCCATACCTGGTATAGTCCCTTGTAGGGGAGCAAGGGGTGAACATAGTAAAAATGATGTATTGAATTTCAGCGTGCACTAAACAGAATTCCT